AATAGCCTGTTTTTCTAAGAAAAATCCTGTTTTTTAGGCCTTAGCAGTCCTGTTTTTTTTTTTTAATGTCCTGTTTTTTACCAATGACCCTCTAGGAACCCTGTAATAATTTTTGAATGTCTAGGCCAGATACAACAAATGGCAGACATCACATCTCGTTCCATTAAAATATTGCAATATTTTGATGAAACGAGAATATCCATGAAAGAGGTATGAGAACATTTTATTTAAATCACCACAGGGCTGGTGTGATAATCATTGCTTGTCGTGGTGTTGTTTTTATTCAGTCTAATGCTGCATTAAAGAGTTGATTGTCAAGAATACAAAGTTTGGATACCATTATTGATAGTGACTAGTGCTCAAAGTAGAATATTGTGAGTTTTTTGGACAAGTGAAAGTTTTTTATGTTTGAATTGACATGTCACAGTCAGAGGTTTCATGTAAAGACATAGATGAGTTTTTTCCGGAAATTCTCGGAATTCCAGAAATTCATTTAAAACAACTTTAGTTTTTCCAGAAATTTCCGGATGTTTTTTGATATTAATTTGAAAAAAAATTAATATATTTTTACATAAAATTTTACATACAACAACTTTTGCATTTAAACAAATATGTTTTCTATAATTAAAATTTTCACAAGATAAATTTTTGTAACAATTTTTTTTCTTTTTTTTTTCTTTTTTATTCATTCAAACTTTTTCAAATATTAGAAATTCCTTTTTGTAAAAAGTTGAAAAATCTAAATTACGTTTTAAAATAATCTAAATTCCGTTTGTCTGTTAAATGCGATCACTTTTTAATAAAATAACATTACGGGATTTTTCGGGGATTATCATAGAAAAAAAATTTCAGGATTTTCATATAGTCAAATAATCATTTATGTAAAGAGCAATCTGAATTGTAATCTGTTAATGGTTCTGTAGATAAAATTTTACTTTAAAACTTTTTTATTTTATTTCTGGTGTCTTTTTTCTTCAATCTAGCGTTTTCTATATTTAACAACAACAGGTCTTCGGATGTCCTTGGCATCTTTTGGGGGCCTCGCTGGTCTATCAGGAACTTTTTATCTTCGTTTGTCTTGATGCGACAATTTCATTTACCATGAGCGATGTCAAAAAGCATATTCATTTTGGCAATAAATTATTCTTCACAGCAAATAATGGCGGGCCAAAATGCACCTTCCCCTCCCCCCCTCCATTTACCCACCCCTCCTCCTTAAAGCGCACACACACTTCTTTTTTAAAAGACCTTTTTTAAAAAAAAAAATTTTAGATATATAGAACTTTTTTTAAAAAAATGACGATTGTGCCCCTTCACTTTAAAACCAGTGTCTTTGGCCCTGTATCTATGTTACAATACTTTATATTATTTGTTTTTACATGTAATGTTAAAAAATTTATAGCAGGATTTTGTATGAAATAGAACAGTTTGTAAAAAAATTTCAATTCTCTATATATTTTTCATGTTAGTGTATTCTACAAATAGAGTGGTTATTGTTCTTAAAGAACAGAGCAATAATAGTTAGTAAAAATGCTCATCTAATATGCATATATATATATATATGCATATTATAGTTTGCAAGTTCACGCACAAATAGTGAAGTTGCTCAGTTCATGAATGGATGATAACTTGCACATTTCACGGAACTTGCAATCATTTGTACATTACAAAAAATGTGCAATTATAATACTGCGCATTTCACAATCTGTGCGCTTTGTTTATTTTTAAACTATTTCTTGTAAATAAAGATAAAGAAATAGCATTGTTTATTAGGTTGATTCAAACTTTCCAGAAGCCCGTTTTTTGAAAGAATTTTGAAACGGAGAACACTAAACAGAAACTGGGAAACACTTTATTTAAGGATATTTTCACATAATAATGAAATTTCGCACTTACTTATAAATTTGGGGGATACTTCCATTTCTGAAAAGTTGGATTTTTTTTCACATAATACTCTTGAGTTTTTTATAGAAAGGGGAAGAAACTATTTTTTTTTTGATAATTTTCCACCCGCCCTAAGCTTGTTAAGACCCCCAGTGTAAAATCCCACTTTTTTTTATTCCTACCCCATTGTTTATTAGATCTGGACTAAAATTCTCTGACCCCTCCTTTCCCCCAGTTTATTAAGAAATCGAGAGTAGAGGTTAAATAATCTTTACTTTTCATGTCATACTCAAGGTCAACGCAGTTTTAGGTTACCTTGAATGCCTCATTGAGCACAAAATTTTAGTGTTTTTTTATAGGCTTAATTATCTATGCGATTTTCCTCTAACAGTTTAAAGGTTTCAAAATTGAAACAATTCTCTCACACAATGCCTTATAAAAATAAATTAGTTTAACCTAAAATAGCATGGCTATTGTTTGAGTGTATTTTTTAAAATCTAAATATTTTTTAAATTCTCATTATTTTAAACTAAATTTCACTATCTCAGTTTCTGATTTTTTTTAAATATGTAATTAAAAAATATACAAGTAAATAAAACGAAGTTAATCTTTTAACAAATGTGGTTAAAAAAAAGTTATTTCTATAAAACATTTTTATCAATAATTGTCACATGAACTACTAGGATAGCAAGAAGAATTGCTCACCAAAGAATTTTTAAAACAAGATTATTTTTTACTGCCACATTGTGATTTGCAAGTGCATCTTTTAAAATCTTGTCCATGACCGATAGAAAGTTTATGTACTAAGGATACTCAATACTTCAGTTGGCACTTCACTAGCTGTTAATCTTATTAATGAAACACTTTCAAAGCTGTTTCTTTCCAGCCAAAGATCAATTATACCACCTTTTGTGCCAACTTTATATATCCCATCTTTAATATCTAATACAGCGTCAGTAAAAGGATCACCTCTTCCACTATCTAAAGATGATACAAAAACGTTTACACAACCACTAATTTGTATGACTTTTAGTTTTTTATTGGTTTTCTTCATCATAGTTTTAGCAGCTTTTTCCATATTTTTATTGGCAATTGTTCTTAAATTTTCTTTGTTTGAATCAAAAACATCGACTAACTGATTTAGCTGGATGTTTTCCTCAGGAATAGGAAAACAGCTAAATTTAATTGCTAGGTTTTCACAAATATATTATCTAGAACATGAACCTCTTCACTATTTTTAGTATTTTTTGGTGAGTTTTGATTATAATATTCTTGATTTTAATGCAAAACTTCAAATGATTTGTTTAAAATTTCTTCAAACATGATTGGTTGGTTTAGAATTTCTTCAAGATCGCCTTCATCTATTCCTGAATGAATTCGATGGAAGAATTCTTCTTTTGCAGGTTTTGAGGTCAATGGTATAAGCAAATGGAATTTAGTCAGATGCTCTTGATAATGTAAAATAAATTTATAATTATTATCAGGTAAGCTTTGAAAATCCACAAGATCCACTTGACCACTTTGATTCAAATCATTTACTGTTATTGGTTAAATCACTAATCCACTTGCAGTTTCTCTTGTCTTTAATTTTTCGGTACATCTTTTGTATTGTTTAATGAATTCACTAACAAGCCTTCTTTGAATATTTGTATGTTTCCATTATTTTTTTATGAATTTTTTTTTCACCTTTGTGTCCAGTAGACAAATGTATATTTCGAATTATTTCAATAACATTTTTAAACATATGCTTGCAACAAGTATAAAATTTTGTATTTAATAAGCAATTTTTGTATAAATAAACAGATAGCTTGTGCAAAAACCAAAAGCTCTCGTAAAAAGCAGTTTAAAGGAGCGGCTCGCATAGCTCGCCATGTTTCTTTTAGAAGAACTTTTCTCCGCTTTCGCGCTCATTTACTCCCGCCGAGGCCTGTACATTTAAAAATGATTTCCAATTACGTTTTAAACTGTTTCTTTGGTTCAACGGATTAAGTCTCAAGACTCTTTAATTTTACAGGATTTTTTTGTTTTATGACAAAGGGTTATTTTTTCCTTTGTTTTCATTTTTAGGCCTGAAGAATTTAATAAAAGTAATATGTTGGACGACATTAGTCAAACGTAAGTGAGAATTGAATCCTTTGGTAATACAGTAGTTAGATTTTGCATCAAGTTTTGAAATATTTTTTTATATTATTTTTTTAATGAATTTAGTTTAAATAATTAAGTATTGAAAATAGTTTAAATAATTTTTTATATGATTTTTTCTTAAAAAGTTGTGATTTTAGAGATAATACAACTTCAAAGGCTGAAAATTCCGAAGAAGAAAGTTGTAGCTCAAAGGAAGATGATGACAGCTCAGATGATACACTATTTAAAAATCCAAACCATCGCATTAACCATACTTATGAAGATGACGAAATCACTTCAGAAAGCGAGAGCTCGGCAAGTGAGGAAGAAAATTTTGATGAAGGAAAAAACAATAACAAACACTGTTATCAAGTTGATAAAACTTGAAATAATAAAACAAAACAAAAATCCGAGTCATTAGAGGGTTCTTCCCGGGAATTCTGAGCTAAATTTTGCTGGAATTTTATCCGTTTCACATTTCCCATTAACCGGTAAAATTACCATAATTTTCCTGAAAAAATCAAAAAATTACTTGTGTATTTTATTTGTGTAATATATAATAATGTCTACAAAGCTATTTAATGTGAAATGTATAATTATGTCTAAAAAGCTATTTAATATGTAATGTATCTGACATTAGATATCGTCTATAATATCCAAAAACACATAATGTCGTTATTCGAAATGCGAAACGCTACTCTTTTATTTAAGTTATGAATAAATTTATTGTTCATAAATTTTAGTTGGCGTTGTGTTCTTTCCCAAAATAACATTTTTATTTTAGTTAATTCAAATAGTTAAGTAAGTTTTAAAATTTCGTTAATTTTATTACTATTTTCTTTTATCCAAAAACTAATTTCTATATTTTGATATATAATTAAGAATTGAACAAACATGGCTTATACTGTGTGGAAATATTTTTCAAGCCAAATATTTAAAATGTGCGAACTTCTGGTAGCACTTTAATAACCAGAAAAATAATGATAAGACATTTGCAACATGTTCACAACATCTGGAAAAGAAACTTAAATAACGATCACACTGCTGGTCCAAGTAATTGTCAGACATTCCCAGCAATAGCGAATCTGAGTCAAAAGCCAAAGTCTGTGCCATCATTTTTTTCTAACAAGCAATCTTTAGCAGAGATAGTGGCCAGACTTGCGGCTGTTAATGGTTTTTCAATCTACGGAATATGCAGAAGTGGGATCATCCGTCAAGCATTAAGTCAAAAACAATGTCATTTTAAAAAAAAACTATCAGAGTTTGCAATTATTTTTTCAGATGTTGTTACATCAACCACTGACGCTAAGTAAACTTGGCTTATTGCTATTTCATTTTTCAGATTATATTTTTTAAATTAACACAAACAGATACATCACAAGGGAAACAGGAAAATTTACATTACCAATAAAAACAAAGTTTTTACGATATATTTATCTGTTTCATTCCGCCGTCCGTATCTCTATAATAAAATAATATCTAAAAATATAGAACTCAAAGCAATAAATAATTCCGTCACTTCGAAAAAAAAACTAAAGTACGTCATTCAATTCAAACTGTTTTATTGATATGAATTAAACATTTGTATCATTCGCCATTATTTAACGATGAGACTCTCTAGTCTTCTACAAGTTATCCATTACAACAATTCATTTTGCATTATTTAAACTACGAACTTTTTAAAAAACGCCATTAATAATTTTCTTTATGACTTGTAAATAGGTGTGATACGATAGTAGCATTTATGTGTGTATTTTTTATTTATTTTTTTGTGGGGGAGAGGGGAATTTGTACAACTATAAACAAGAATTTTGTTAACATTGATTAGTTGAAATATATACTGAGGTTTGTAAAAAAAAAAAAAAAAACGCTGCTGCATTATACTGCAGCAACGTTTTTTTACTCTAGGATCTTCATGCCAATACTTTTCAATATTGTTTACCATTATTGGCGTAATACCGCATATATTACCCGATATTGGCCAAAATACCCACTATAGCACCATTATTGCGCCGATATTTCTTGTTACTAGGGGTGTATATACAAATTGTATACACATAAATACAAATTTTGTATGTATATACAAAATAAAATTAAATGACAAATGTCGTGTTGTTATTAAAATTTAGTTGCAGTTGGCAGCCTTGTGTTTATATATTTGTTTAAGAAACGATTTTTTCCATTGAAACCGGAAAATACGTTGTAAATTTTCCGTTTCCCGGGATCGAAAAAACGTTGGGAGTTAAGACTCTCCTCTACGAGTCATTAAAAAAATAGTTTTTTTTACATTTTATTATAAGAATATTAAATAAAGTTTATTTAATTATAAAGCGACTAACTTGAGCAAAGAAGTTTGCCATGTTTACCATAAATTTGTTTATAGTTTGGGAATAATTGATACATATTCGTTTTTTGTGTCGTTTATTTGTAGTGATTTGTGTCCTCCAAGGTGATTTGCCTGGTTCTTTAATTTTGTCAATAAATAACTTTTTTATTTCGGTTTGAATGAAAAGCTTATCGACGTGACTGAATCTTCGAAATTCCTAATTAATAAAAGAATTTGGTGAGATTTGTAAATAATGTTGCTGGGATTTCTTTAGAATGCAAACTAATAACGGGGGTAATTTTCCTCCAAAGGTTATTGTTATGTTGCAATGTTGTTTCATAAAAGATTGACCGAAAATAACATCAGCACATAAGTCAGGCAAGATTGACAAGATGATGTTAGTATACTTTTGATTTTGGGAAGTCGTATTTACCTTGCAGCTTTTTGTTTCCAGTGACGAGGATGCCATTGATACACTACATCTAGTTTTAATGTATGAGATTTGGTACTTATTAACAATGTATTTGTAGATAAAATTGTCAGAGCTTCCGGTATCTATTAGTGTAGCGAAACTCTGTCCATTTATTTCAACCTTTTGAATAGCGTATGAGAGACAATTAGGGACTCCAGCGCTTTTCATTGCAGACATATTATCGGGTTCAGCAAAAGCTAACGGTTTATTCGATTAAAATACTTTTGAAAAATGTCATTATTTCTGGCATTTGTGACAAACAAAAGACAGCTAAATAAATGTAAATAAATTTTCAATTTATTTACATTTATTTCGCTGTTTAATAAATTCAACTTTTATACAAAAAAATACATACATATCCATAGTAAAATTGTACATCTTGTCACCAGGCACCGTTTTGTATACAAAATATAAAATGGAATGAATTTTTTAATGATCTTTATTAGATAAAGAGTTAAACAGACAGGGGCTATAAGAAGAACTTTCACGAAACGTCGTCGCAATCTTTTCATAGAGCCCCTTAAAAAGTTTTAATAAAATATAGTCATTTTTATTTTAAATTAAGGAAAACTAAGAAACTATAAAAGTATAATAGTATTCTGTATTGCGCTAAAAATTAAAACAAACAAAGACAAAAAAAAAATGATAATAAAAAAAAAAAAAATAAAAAAAATAAATAAAAAAAATATGAAGATAAGGAAATAGATATATCTATTATCGATATCGATATATCATTATCGATAATGACCATGGAAGTATTAAGGGTAATTCCGTGTCAAAACAACAACAAAAATTCAAAAAAATAACCCACTATCTCTAAATGACTTAATTTTTGCAACAAAGATACTTAACTAGGCTAAAAAGAATTCCCCAAAGTTGTTTTAAACAAATCGGAATATTTTAGAAGTTATGCTCGTTTAAAATTTAAAACTTAGTAACATTTTTACTCATGATGCTCCCCTAGCAACGTCCTTAGTAACAAGTAAATGCTAATACATACGTTGTTACCTTAAATATATTGTTTTATAATTTGAAATTTTCCACATATTATTAGATGCTAAACTATAAAATCATACCAAGAAATAATATTTTTATTTATTTATTAATAAGTCAATAAGAGTAAATCGGCGTTTTTAATAAAATTGAAAAGTAAACATGCTTACTATAAAAAGAATTACAGAAAAGGTTATGATCTATATATTTCCAAACTTCATAATCTTAAAGTATATATAAACATCTAAAAAAAAAAAAAAAAACTGAGCTGTTTTTTGACTTACTAATCTAAACAATTTAATTTTTATTTTTGATTGAAAGTATATTGAGATTGAGACAGAAGCTTGATTGGTACTTATGTTTAGGCACAACCAGAAAGTAAGAATTCTTACTTATGTGTAAAACTACAATATGCATATTTAATAAACTCAATTAAAAATATTTAAATACTAAAAACAGGTGTTTTTACTCAAAGCTAGTCAAAAAATAAGAGGCATTTTCACTTAGGTATAAAACTGCAATATCCATGACATGTCCATAAATAAACTTTAAATATCAAAATGCATTAACTCTTTGAATTGTTTGTGCTTTTATGAATTGATAAATTTTTATACAAATTATTGAACTTCAAATATTCCTTTGTTTTTCTTTGGACTGTAAAACAAAACAAAATTAGGTAATATTTTTTAATAAATGCAAAATATTGTCATATACATATCATAGACATAAGCAAACTGTCGATTCGAAGTAATAATTGATAAAAGGAAGCAAGAAAATGTCTTTAAGATTCAAGGCCATGTTGGTGCATAAATTAAAATTCCATGTCAACTTTGCACATCACTTTGCATCTCGCAATTTTTAAACTTGTAGATCAAGATAGGGATAGTGTCATCACTGCAGTATTTCATCTTAACTTCATTATGACATACAGGAATAAATTCATGAAAGTCTCTTGTTCCTGGTATTGTTTTTACATTTTTAAATCGTTCAGATTGTAATAATCTTGTTTCTATCAAACTTTCACTTGAAATAAAAATAAAGTTTATACCTTTGATGTTGTTAGTGCAATATGTAAACATATCACGTGAGTTTAATATTTGATTTGTAGAAATTCTCTGCAAACTAGCATTAGCTACAAGCCGTTTAACTGTTCCTCCTATACCATCACAAGGTTGCTTTCCATGGCTGGTTGCAAAGAAAACCCGTTTTGCATCTATTCCAAAGTCTGATTTATGCTGACATAGGTTAAATATATTTTTGCAGTTTTTATATTGAGATGAACAGCCATCAGAAAAGTAGACCACGTTTACAATGCTGGGTATTTTTTGCTTCAGATTATTGATAATTGATTTTTGTACCTCGTAAACCATTGGTACATCATGAGTGTTATCATCTGATATAATGCAATATGAAGTGGAATGCAACACTTGATTTTCTTTATAATACACAACCACTGGATGAAGTGTGCATTGAAGATTATTCCAATGGAAACCTTGTACTTCATCCTGCACAACAAAACTATAGTTTTCTGCAAAATCTCCTAGAATTATTGCGCTACCTGATGGCAGTTCTTCTTTAAGATTTTTAAAATATTTAGATTGGCATTTAGAAATATATGAATGCGTTGTTAGCTTGACTAGTTTTTCCATCACCATATTTACATAATCTGGTATGGTTACAAGCTGTATAACTAAATCTGATCTATCAGTAGTAACCCATTGGTTAAATTCGATAGTATCTTCTTCCTCAAACTGCCCTATTAGTTTGAATAGATTTTCTTCTAATTTAGATGTATTTTTCGGACATTGTGTACATCGATGTAACATGCATTCTTTGTTTTGCATATCACAAACAATAAATTTATATAGTTTGTGGTAATCAATTTTAATGGGTAGGAGAATTAACTTCATGTTTTGATGGTAGATACAAACGCACACAGAATGGGTTCCTGATGAGTTTGGCAAAACACACCATTTAGGTCTTAAAACACAAAACTTGGAAAAACCTAACTTTACATGTGGATATAGAATTTTAAATGAGACAAATAACTCTTTTAAGCTTGACAAAAGTAGTCGCTTTTGCATATGGACTTTCCAACTAACACTTACAAAATCCTTTTGACCAGGCATCTGGCGAGAGTTTTCATCATTTTCATAAAAAATTTTCACTAAAGTATTTATTTGATCAGGGAGCATTTTACCTCGCTTAGTTTGTGGAACTGCAAGAACTCCTTCCTTCTTTGCTAAAGATCTAGATTTTATTATTAGATAATTTGAAACACTAAAATACTCACTAGCTGCTTTAATTGACCATTCTTGTGGGCACAAAGTCAATACTTGAATTTTGTCCCTAAATGAACTGCATTTTTCAAGTTTATCTTTGATCAAAACTAACATTTTTTCGAACTGAACAACTTTTTTTTTAAATCAAGAACATATTCATTATCAAAAACTTCAACTTCTGTCAATGGAATTTTTAAAGAACTTGATAACTTTTCTTTGAAAACTTTTGTAATAGTTTTAATTTTTTTTTTCCCAATACTCATACGATTTGCAAATGGCTTTCCGTGAAGCTTGACTGGTGACACACCAATTATACTGAGACAATCAGAAAGTTCTTGTCTGTTTTTATTTATATCAGCTTCTTGTTGAACACTAAATATGTTTTCTTTATTTATACTTTCATTTGTGTAATCATCAGCAATATTAATGCTATCAGTATTAATTTCAGTGGAAGCTTTTAATCTGACTAAGCAATTTGTGCAAATTTTTTGACCAGGTACAATATTGATCCTGTTGTTTAAAGCTATGGTTCTTAACGTGACTTCTCTGAGAGATGCTAAATTAAAAAATATAACTTAATAAAGTAAAATATGCCTACTATTAACAAAAATAAAGAACTTAAAATTATGACAAATTTACTATTATAAAATTTATGACAAGCTTTACTAACCTTTGCATGGTCTTTTGTGAACTAACAGTGGATCACAGCATTTATTCTGAAACACAGGGAACTTCTCAAGATAGAACTTTTGATGATGAAAACATAAGTCAATAATCAAAACAGAAGAAACACCAGACCTTAACGCAACTAAATTTTGCTCATCTGGAGCTAAATCTTGAAAAAAGTTTATTCCAATGTGGTTTGTAAATGTTAACTTGTGACAATTTGATTTTAAAATCAATCCAACTGAGCATTGTGATGTTCCATCCATTATAAAAATATTTTATTTTAATATTTTATTTTTCTAAAACTATTATTAAATAAATAATAAATTCTCGCATGAGTATTATAATCAAAATTCAAATGTTAGAATCAATTGCTCCATTTAATTAATACAAGAAGAAATCAGAAATTCATTTTTATTTTAAACTAAATAAGTGTAATCATATGATTAGACTTATTTAGTTTAAAATAAAAATGAATTTCTGGGTTTCTTGTTCAATTAATTAAACGGAGCAACTGGTTCTAACATTTAAGTATAACACTTATGCGAGAAATCATTATTTTTTTTGTGAAAAATTATTTTAGTTATAATCTTTAAATGGAGATTATAACCAAAATGGTAAATAAAAATGCAAAAATAAAATTGCAAAAATAAAACAATAATAAAATAGGTATGTGCATCAAAAAACAATGAAATAATTTTTGCCTCTTACAGGCATTTAAATATAAACTATTTTTGTAAAGATTTAAAGTGAATAGATCAATACCTTTTCTGCAATTAGTCTTAAACTAGACATGTTTACTAAAAAATTATTGTTAAAAACCCGGTTTGCTTTGCAAAGTTTTTAATCAAATATAAGATCTAATAACTTTAAGTAATGATTTTTGATTTCTTTATTCAAAAGTTTCTATACCTATTAAATTTTGTAAACGAATGGTTAATGTAACTGTGTATACTTTAACATTTTAGTGTTGCTATAGACGTTGCTAAGAGAGCGGAGAATAAAAAAATTTTAAAATTCTTAAACTTCAAAGACCCATAACTCTTAAAAAAATGAAATTGACTCCAAATTATTTATGATTATTACTAACAACATTATTAACTGCATTTGTGCCAAAAATCAAGTATTTCTGAGATGGTGGGTTATTTCGACTTGTTGTTTTGACATGGAATTACCCTTAAACAGATGGAAGTTCAACCGCTTTGAAATTCTTCCGGACTATGCTTGTAACCTTTTGTTTCGAAAACAATTAGAAAACGACATCAAGACTGTACTTAAACGCTTAATCTTTATACGTTGACGCAAATAGATACGTTTATAATAATTTAAAAATATTGTATTTTGAAGGTTCGCCAATAATATTTAAAAAAGACATTAAAAATGGCGCAACGTAAAGGCAAATAACAACTTTTTTATAAACTTCATATTAAATGAATGGAGTACTAGAAGAATAAATGGAATTATGATATACATCTAATAAAACTTTAAACTTTACTTATTTAGAAAACATTTTTTTTGATTTTTAAAAAATTGTTTTAGTTGTTTAGTTTATCAAATGTCGTGTTATGACTTGAAACAAGAAAAGAAGCTTAAACTAACATATGCTTTTAAAATAAAGTGATTCTATTTAATTACCGAGTTTTAATAAACCTTTTGCTGAATAATTGCAATTACTAAATGTTAAAACTTTGCAGCATATCCCTAGAATAATTCATTTTTTGATGTTTTAATAAAGATCATTTCAGTAAATTTTGTTGTTTTTTTATCCAGTGAAACTTGTTTTTTTTATTGCATACTCCCGAGACGACTTGATGTTTGCGGCTCGATGAACTTCCATCTGTTTTATACTTCCATGGGATGACGAAACGTCGTCGCAATCTTTTCATAGAGCCGCTTAAAAAGTTTTAATAAAATATAGTCATTTTTATTTTAAACTAAGAAACTATAAAAGTACAATAGTATTTTGTATTGCGCTAAAAATTAAAACAAACAAAGACAAAAATAAAACAAAATAAAAAAAAAAAACTAAAAAAAAAAAAAATGATCAAGAGACTTCCGAGTAACTATAATTTTTAATTATGTATATATGAATATATTAACATTTATATTTACATATGCACAAATATAAAAGTATTATAAAAAATATAAAAGTTCAAGTTTTAAAAATTTCTGTTTTTGTTAGATACTTAAATGAACTTAACAACTTAACAACATACACTTGAGTCCTTTTTGATAGGTATTCCATATTTTTGGTCCTCTATATGTAATGCTATATTCCGTATATTTATCAGATTTCCAAGGCAGTTTATATGTGTTACTTAAATTTGCCTTTAGGTTGTAGTTTTCACTTACATTTGTTTCAAACTTATTGTAAAAGTTTGCTGGATTGTTATTAAATCGATACATAAAGATTAAATGCTGATAGGTATTTATTTCAAATACATCCATCATTTTTATATCTTTCATTAAGGCTTTAGCGTCTTCACGTTTATCTTTAGAGTAAATGATCCTGCTGGCATGTTTTTGTAAGCTATAATTTTTTTTAAGTTTTGATGGTTGTGAACTTGCCCATGAAATGTTTGTATAGCTGATGAAGCAATGAATTAGACCAAAATATATTAGTTTGAGACTTTATTGTTTATTGATGTATGAACGAATTCGATACATCATACTGACATTTTTGGTAATCTTAGACTGGATATACTTTATTTGAGGAAGCCGGGATAAATTTTCTTCAATCAAAATTCCTTAGAATCTTATACTGGCTTGCCTTTTAACTAATTTATCATTTAAGATAAGATCTTGCAACTTAAATTTTCAAGAAAAATCTAAGTTGTGGAAAAATCTAAGTTGCAAGATAAGATCTTGCAACTTAGATTTTCCTCCTTATTTTTTTATGAAATATTATATAGTTAGTTTTCTCAACATTAAGTGAAGGTTTGTTAGCCCTAAACTAACTATTTACTTTATTTAGTTCAATATTCATATTTGCGTTTAATATTTTGACAACATTGTTAGTAATAAACAAATTTATATCATCAGCAAACATGATTGAACTTAGTTTTAAAAATTCATTACAAAAATCATTTACATAAATTAGAAACAGGAGTGGACCAAGAATTGATCCATAAGGGACTCCACATAAAACATTTAATACTCCAGATTGCGGATTATTCACATATTGCTTTCTATTTGTAAAATAACTTTTAATCCAATAATAAGTTTTGTTAATTATCCCGTAATACTTTAGTTTACTTAAAAGGATGCAATGATCCACTGTATCAAATTCTTTTGATAAGCCAATAAATACTCTTAAGGTAAGTTTGTTTAAAACCATCAATTATTTGATTTACTATTTCAATTATTGCGTGTTCAGTTGAAAGATTTTTTCGAAAACCAAACTGTTTTTGGTAAAATAAATTGTTTTACTAATCTCCATATTTTTAAATTTAAAATATTCTTGTTAGACGATCTAATTACCATTTTATTGAATAAAAATGTATAAATAAATAATCTTTATTATTTAAATTGTTTTATATTACATAACAAAATAGTGAAACAAATCCTGATCAAGTCTCGCTTGTAAAAGCTGCTCAAGAAGTTGATTTTTTCTTTAATCACTCGATTATAGAAAAAAAAGAAGACGTTTTTAATTACTGGAAACATGAAGAGAAGTTTCCACTTCTAAAAGAGTTAGCTCTTAAATTATTAACACCTCCAGCATCCTCTGTATTTTCGGAGCGATTGTTTTCCGAATATGGAAATATTTTCGAGAAAAAGCGATCGAGGCTGCTACCTCAACGTGGAGAAATGTTACTATTTATTCATCATAATGGAAATAAATTTATAAATGAGTGATAAACTGATGTGTTTGTTGCGTTTAAGTTTAATAGTATTTGAATAATAAATTATTATTAATAATAATAACAATTTTGAATAGAAACCATTAACATTAGAATATTTAAAAATATAACATTTCTTGGTTTATTAAATCTTTAAATTTCAACTTGAAATATCCGGTTTATCGAAAGCCGGATAATGTTATTATCCGGCTAGATAACGGATATCGAATAATATTGATATCCAGCCCGGATATCCGGCCGGATAGCTTATCCGGGACACCTCTAATATTTACGCAACAGGGGCGGGTTTAGCTTTTTAAAGAGGTTAGTCAAAAAAGTCGGTTGCAGATTTCAACGCCCCCTCCCCACGGAAGAATGGCGGGTGGGGGTACGGGTGGGGTGGGGCTGTGAAAACAAATAACCACACAAGGTAGAAACTCAAGGTAGAGCTGAAAAAAAGGAGAAAAGGTATACAATAGACAATGTATATAATGCTCCTAATTTAAATATCAAAGATACAGTACATAACGGTACCAGTTTTGATTAACAATTGACAGGTAAAACTAAAGATAACGGATATTTTTTAAGATAACGGATATTATTTAAAATGGCTGATAATATTGTTTTATCAAACATAAATTTTAATTCACAGAAAAACCCAATAATTTTAAACAACTATTCGGATCCCGATTATAATTTTTTTAACAATAGTCAAGTAATTAAAAATACTAGCCCGATATACTATAACCCAAATTCAAAAAATATTGATAAAGGAATGGAAGATAATTCAATGCTTCACATTAATATTAGAAGCATTCAAAAAAATTTTGAGTCATTGAAACAATTTTTACATAAAATTGACATTAGATTTCAGGTAATTTGTCTCAGCGAGACATGGTGTCACGATGTAAGCATTGAAAACAATTCCAATTTTCAATTACCTAATTATAAAGTAATTCATCAAGTTAGAGCATCAAATAAGGAAGGTGGAGGTTTGTGTATATACATAAAAAATTCAATTTTATTCAAAAGGAAACCACAGTTAAGTACAACCACTAATGATTATGAATCTTTATGTGTTGAAACTATTAATAAAACTTCAAGAAATATCGTCATGCATCCTTTATATAGACCGCCCTCAGGAAGTATTAAGGCATTTGAAAATCACATTAAAAGTATAATTAAAAAAAAATTATCTTTAAATATTTTGTTTTATTACGGTTTATATTGTTGGTGACATTAATCTTAATATATAAGAATACGACAAAAATAAAAACATTAAGAACTTCTTTAACACAATTTTTCAAAATAGTTGTATTCCCCTAATCAATAAACCAACGCGAGTAACTAGAGAAAGTGCAACATCTTTAGATCAAATTATTACAAATGATTTCGTAAATATTAAAATAAGGACAGGTATATAT